ACTTGGCGTTCTAAGGACTGTGTTATGAGTGGATCGATTACATTTTCCAATAAGTTTAAATACAATTGACCAGTTGAATTTTCTTCAATAAAAATAGGGTCAATTATTTCGTTTCCGAGAATTCCAGCCCAGAAGTTTATTTTTTATGGATATTGCGTATGATCCTCTCGAAACAAGTGTGGATTTTCATTATGCCAGTATCTACAGTTATGCTTATTTACGAAGCCCATTAAGAAAAATAGTTGTATCATCACTAAAGCAAATATTTTTCATTAAATTCGGGTCACTTTGAATTTTCGCAGTCATTATTTCACAAAATTCAATTCTCCTTTCATAGTCATCCTCTTATGTATGTATAAAACCACCTGAAATATTTACTTACTTAGCGACTTTCGAAATTGAAGTAGTAGGCTCAACGACGAATTGGCCTAAAATCTCAATCTGTGTGGCTTCCGTAAGAATTTTCGGCTGCTTCACTGTTTTGTTGCACACAGAACCGGTCTCTTCAAATTTTTGAACAAGGTCAAAAGCAAATTCAAATCCAAGATAGAGTGGATGCAAACATTTACATACCCTACGCACGTGATATTGAAAATCCCAAGAAATGGCCAGGGTCGTATTCAAAACCAACATGTTGTTGATCGCAAATGCTATATCATACTTAGAAAAACTTTTTCATAATAACGAGTGAAATGCACAAGTTTCGCAGTTCAACGGGAAAAATGCAGATAATATGTCTAATATAAAAATATTTTCATTGTATTTTTCNCGATGTCTCAATTTCTTCCATCTCTTTCTTGAACACATTTAAAATCACTTCTTTCATCTCAACACTCAAATGTCTTTTTTTGGATCGTTTCCTGGCTGGACTTAGAGGATTGCTAACAGTGTCATCAGCAATGTCTGTACTGGACATCTTGAAAAATGTTTAAACAATATACTATAACGCACGCCACACAAACGACTGATTACAACCCTGTGCTGGTACTGAATTCGTACCAAGAAGGCGAATTCACCAATGAACGCTGCCCTTTCCATCTGACACTGGGCGATCACGTGAACATCACGCTTCGGTTTTGTTTTGTTTTACTCTATCTTGGATTGGGATAGACTTTAGAACATATCGATGACTCACATTTTGGCCTGCATGCCTTTCACTAAAAACCCGGGCTGTCCTACGAGCACACCTATCTTCAGCACCATAAATAAAAATAACTTCAGTTCTTTCTTGTGAAGTGTACACCATTACGATTTGTATTACTGTCAGTGCAACTGACACCACTTGACAAACAGTTCAAAATCAGGAATAACTAATTCTGATAAATGTTTTCACCATTTAATTGTAACTGACGCTAAGAAGCAACTATGTGCCCTTATCTCACTTTCAGCTAAAGCAAGAAACTATGTGTGAGAAAGAGACATGAACATACTGTTATTGAGTCAGTGGTAGCGGCTCCATAAATTTTTGCGTTTTGTTATGATTCATTTTCTTTTTGTCCTATTTCACGAGAAAGAATCAACCAATTTCAGTTTTCTAAACGGGGTTGAGTGAAAATTTTCAAGATCTTCAAAATGATGTGTTACAAGATAGGGGATGTAATTCAAAATTATTAACGGGGAGGTAGCTAGGAGTAAGGAGGTTGAACCTAAAATACCATTGGCACTGGTTTTGTCTACGGCAAATTCTTTCTGCAAAACAAAGTACTAGGGGTGGGAAGTTTCGAAATGAAGGCACTGTATAGTTAGTTGAAAGATTTCTATTACACTTTTTGGGAATAGGTTGAAAGCGAGAAATCTTCCGAGAAGGAAAAACCCCTTTCTCGTGAAACAGGTTGAAAAGTTTGCAAAATACCGATGCTAGTTCATTTGGGCACTTTTGAAGTAAGATGACGAGCACTTCTAGATGGGCTAAACGCTGTCGAAAAGTTATTTCCTGCATTGTGGATTCTAGTGTGGAAATAGTTGGTGGTGCCTGTGGAGTGGGACGCAAATTCTTCAATTAGTATATTTGCTTTTTCTATGGCTGTTGTTGCAATTGAACTATGCGCTTTCTTCAGTTGTGGAATTGTGGATTTTGTAATGTTTCGATTAACAGCTTCAGTTACCGACCAGAAGGATCTAGACCCGTTAGTATTGGCAAGCAGTTCATCTCTGATTCTCTGATTGTAAAGTTTTTCGCTTTTATTCATCCTAAGTTTGCAGCTGTTGCCAGCATTAATAAACCTAGTTCGGTTTTTGGCACTGGGGTTTTTGCGCCACTGCCGGTAGCCGAGATTTTTGGAGGCGACAGCTTTCTCGCAATTTGTTGTTGTTGAATTAAGATTTGACGTTAGGAGGTCGTTTTATTGATGAAGGAATATGTGCATCTATGGATGATAGAATAACTTCCGTAACTACAGAAGCACTGGTTGATAGATCTTTAGAGCTGAAAGAAACATCTAGCCAGAGGAAATTTTGGAAATGGTTTTGAAGATACTTCCATTCAACTGATCTGCAATGCCAAACTTTGCGCGGCTCAGATACATTCACTCAACACTGAAATGAGTTCCAGTGTTGAGTGATATACAGGGTGTCCCTGGACTTCCTCTTTTCCTCTCGGGAATGTATAGATGGGGTCAAAATATCACCAGTACTTCATATAACTTTTTTTCCTAAATGTCTTCGTAACCAAGTTACGGGCCCTCGAAGTTACAAAATGAAAAATGTTTTTCTTTGATAACTTTTCAAGTGAATATTCAAAATCATCCAAATTTTGGTAATTGACTAAACAAATGAATTCC